CACTTGTTCCTCGTGAAGATTCGAAAACTCTAACATCATTATATGACATATTTGAGCTGTTCAATCTATTTGGCTCTGAAAAAAACTTCTTTTGCTCGAATTACAAGGCTTTCACCCTCTGGCTAATAATAATGCTTTATAACAAAACTCCAAAAAATGTGTAAACCTTCTGAGAACTTTTGAGAGTCTAGGTATTGGAAGAGAATAAGGGAGAAAACTAGAAAAGAGAAAAGAAACAGAAACACTTTGAAAATTGGACTTTGCTGTTGTCTACTCCGATGAAAAAGAATTGCAGCCGGAACAAATGCATACTAAATAAAATATGATCGTCCCGAACTTGCTTGAGGAACAATCGTGAAAAGGTTTGAAGGGATATTTATGGTTATTGACCGTTATTACACTTTTTTTTTGGAAACTTTTTAATGCATTCACCTCAAAAACCCAGGATATTAAGAGATATTAACTAGAATGAGTTTTTTTCATTTTAGGATTTTCTAAAAGTGCTTTCAAGAACCCAGCATATTATTGGATATTAGCTAGAACGAGGTTTTTAGAGCTTATTTCACGATATTCTAAAATTCCCTTCAATAACAAAATAAGCTACTTGAAATTTTAGCTTCTCATATCGCCATGATTTATGATATTTTGCTACATGCAGAAGTGCCAAAATTTAGACAAATAAGAAAAGATTCCATTCTTATCGTTTGAAACTTACACTAAATTCATGTAGATGACGATTAAAACCCTTGTCATTGGATCATTTCGAAACTTGCGCAAAAGTTTCCTTAATGATTTTCCAGCATCTTCCCTGGATAAGGGTACATGCGCTTTGAAATCGACCTTTCTACCGAAGAAATGTGTTGAGACTTTTTTCTAGAATACTTAATTAAATGTGGAAGCTTACAATGCTTAAATGTAATTAGAAAGCCTAAAGCACCAGTGCACTTACGTTACCCTTCAAAAAGTCAGTGATCTTCGTTACAACGCCACTTGGACCAACGAAAAACTGTCTGAAAAAGAAGATATACATAAACAGCAAAAAAAGCTATAGCGGCAGTCAATCCGCATAAAATGGATCCATCTATGATCACTAACTGCATGATTAAGATGGTTCAAAATGTGAGCAATCAAATCAGTCAAGTACATATGTTTGATTGTTTTGAAGAAAGGGAAGTTGAAGATTATGTGCAACAAAAATGAGTAAAATCAAATATTATGACAACGCTTACTTCACTGATATAATCGCTGACCGAAGAAACTTTGGCATTTTCACCTTGTATCCGAATAGCGTAGTCCCACGCTTGCTCTCAGATCTTTCTTCGGACGGCTGTAAATAGGGTTGCCTAGCAAAATAGTAGCAAAGAAGACTCAATTGTAGGAATGATATGAATTAAGACATTCCAAAGCTTATTAGACTGTAGCTCCGGAAAAGTTACACAACGTAGTAGTCTGCATATTGTTGAAGATTGTCTGCAAGTTAAACTTGAAGGGACACTGATATACTGAATACTTTTAGTTTAGAATGATGTTTGAAGATTTGGACATAACATATCCATATTAGACTTGCTA